AGAACGCGAGATACAAAAAACACGAATCTTCCGAAGTGTCTCTGTTTTTGTACAAAAATTCGCGGTATATTTAAAATATCGTACCGAGGTTTGGCTGCATTTCACTTCCGTTTCGACTCTCACTTACCTCCTTCAATTGACTATCCAAAATCTTCACCTGGCCCACGAAAGTCTCCTCTCTTTGCGTTGCCTATTTTTAGTCAAGCGCAAAAAAAGAGAAAAAAAAGAACGATCTCACGTTAGCTTTACAAAACCAAATAAATAAATTAAAAAAAAAAAAAGGAAGAAGATAAAAAATGAAAACAAAACAGGAAGAAAGAAGAAATGATAGAGAATGATGGCAAACGGTGAGGGAAGAGTAGCGTAGAAAATGGTGAGCGAGTTGAACGATTTAGTGTTTAGCAGACAAAAACTCGCGACGACAAATCACACTCTGGCCAGAAAAGAAAGAAACAATCGGATGCAAAAACACTGTGGAAAAGGATCTGTACCTCCTTTAGGCGAGAGGTAAGAGTCTTAATTTGGTTCTTGTACTCCTCTTCACGCTGGTTGGCCTATGATACAGTAACGTGAACATTATTGCATCTCGACATTATGTCAAAAATTTACTATTTTTTTCCGACCTCTCCATCGACGCGTTTCCTCTTTCTTTCTTTCTCTTTTTTTTTTTCTCTCTATTCTTTTTCGTCCTATCTCGCCTGGCCTGTCTTTTATCTTTCTCCCGTTCTCCTCTGTCACGTACAACATACACGTTTCGCGGACAAACGCGACGATGCATTTTAAAACCCCTTCGTCTCGAGCAATCGTGCATTCATTTCGCGCGACACTCCCCCGTTTGTTTTTTTTTTCCCCCCCTTCAATTTTCACGTCCCGCGAGACGGGATTTCTGCAGCGTGTAACTTTCTCGAGAGGCCGGGGTTTTTGCCATCAGCAACGAGAAAGAAAGACACGACGTTTGTTAATGAAAATTGTAAAAGCAAAACGATTTTTCAATTATTATCTTCCTTAACAACGAGTGGCCAACAAGTTGGATTATATAGATTACGAGTTTAACTTCTTGTACTCCGTGCGCTGTTCGATATTCATATCGTGGAAATCTCTATTGTCTGTTATCTTTAGTGATTTAAAAAAAAAAAAAAAAAAGAAAAAAAAATGATAAAGAAGAAAAAGCCTACCGTACAGATAAATTTATCAGCGTAATCGTTTTTTTTTTTTCTCATACTGCAAAAGTATGATGGAATTGCCGATCGTGAAAATTTAATTATGAAGGGTTAAAGAGTGAATTTAGAGTATAATTTAAATTTCATCTGCACGCGAGAAACATTTACGAGATCTGGTCGGCACGAATCAGTGAAATGAATTTAGAAGAAAGAGAAAGTGAAATGGACACATGTATATATGTATATATTGTATTCGAGATTTCGTAGGTATTTGTCGTGACTGGTTCTAAGCTGGTACTTACCTTCTCTTCGGAGACCTCGAGGGACTTCAGGTTGTTGCCAACTACGCGCAGCTCCTCCTCAAGCTCGACGATCTTCCTGCAAAACGAACGAACCATTTACAACGGG